GACTTACGAGTGCAGGGCCAGCAACGACCCCAAGAGGAATGACTTGAGGCAAAACCCTTCCATAACATGGATTCGAGCCCAGGCCACCATAAGCGTCCTTCAGAGTGAGTCCAGCACCCTACAGTAGTAGTACTGTAGTCATTAGAGGTGGCCCGATGCCCTTCCCTTCTGCTTCCTTTCCCTCTTCCCCAGTATGATCACTCACCCCACCCCTTGTCTTGTTTTTCAAACCCACGACCCTTCTGGTTGTAGTGTATAAAAAACATCTGTGGCAACTTTTTTCCCCCCTTCTTTGCCGTCCTTTCTACGTCCTTTATCCTCAACCCTTCTCTGTGTCTTTCTCCTCAGGACAAAGAACTTGGGGAAATCTGTGACTGTCAAAATCAGCTGTGTTGGGGAGAGTTGGGGAGGGAGAACTGGGAAGTTTTTAAAAAAAGTTTAATACTTACAAAACCAGGCAGTCAAACCAGGGTAGAGTTGAAATTGTTTCTTTCTCTCCCCTTTAATTTTGTAGTAGGTTTCCTGCTATCCTTTCGCTGATTGCTTCTCTGGTGCCTTTCTATTTTTGTTTCTCTCCCCAGTCTAACTACTTTTTATTTCTTCTGTTCATCTGTTCGAAGCTCTCTGAGTAGCTGCCTTCACCTCTGTGGTTTATGGTTTTAAGTTTGTTTATGCCCAGCCTTTCCCTCACTGTGACTTGGTGTCATCTTGTTCTGTGATGGGAATGTTGCCATGGGTGCATTGTGGTGGCGTGTTTTGGTTGTTGGGTGGCATGTAAGTTTGGATATTCCCATAGTTTCAGCTTTTTCTTTTCTGAAGCAGTGGCATGTGCTTCTCTGATCACAGCTCTCCATGCAGCAGCCCCTCCTCACTGGTCCAGCCCACTCAGTCTCCTGTCCTCGTAAAAGCAGCAGTGGGAAATTTCCTCCATGCATCTTGCTGTGAGGAGCCAGGTGACACCTAACTGCAAGGTATTTTTTTAAAACCCCACCATGCTGTTTCGAAGTCAGTTGCATTTGATTCCTGTTCACAGACAGTTCAACTTGGATGACTGTTGGCACAGTGCTCCCCAGAAATTGTTTGGAAGCCATGCACAGTGGCCTTTTCTTTGTGGCTTGAAAAAAGAGGTGACTAAATTCCAGCCTGTTTCTGTGAGTGACGGGTGAGCCAAGCTGGCTCGGAATCCTTCCCTTCATCGATCGTAGCAGGCACGAGTGAGATATCAGACACGGGAGCTTTTGTTGCCACTTCTCTTCTGGAAAGTGACTCGCTACTTGTACGGTGGAAAGGAGAGGGAGGGAGAAGCCACCACAGAGCCAGTGCTCTCACCCAGGGAAATGTCTAGCCCCACATCAGACCTGTTTATAATCGAGGGGAAGTTCTCTGTTTAATGGAAAGATCCTCTGGGTTTTTCACCTTCTCTTCAAGGACTCAATGAGAGACTCATAGCTAGTTCCAGCTTAAAGAACCAATTGATTTAGAGAGAATAAGCCAAAATAGTAAAATACATTTATGAGGAACTTGCTAATGACATAGGAGGTAATATGACTTTGACTCCGTATTCTTACAAGGAAAGTAAGACAGTATCTGTTCCTTATAGCAACTCAGAAGATCCTCCTATGAAAAAAAAGAGGCCTCAGAAGAGAGAGAGGAGAGGCTGCTGCAGTTGGCACTACTGAGTCAGAGAACCTGCTTCTGGAAAGGGGAAAAGAAAATCTTGTCTGTGTGAAAATGGGGAACACTAACCCAGCGATTGTTCTTTTTTTTAACAGTTTTTTCCCCTGCACGCCTCCTTTTCCTGCCCCCTTGCTCCTTTGCTTATAAAACAGAATTACCCAAATGGCCACAAACATCTGTAGAAGTTTATAGGCGTGGACTGGGCTGGGTATTTGGTTACTTGTACTTCCAGGAGCCTGACTCAAGTAGACAAATAGCTAGAAAGGCCATGCCTGAGGACTAGAAAAAAGACAAGGCTTTGGGACACCCACCTACCAGCCTGGAGAGTACCTAGCATTCCCCTAGTTACTTGGAAGCAGGCTTCCTAACTTGAGGGGTATTTGCATGTTGTTGAACCAAACCCTGCCTAGTTCAGTCTCTTCCACAGACTTCCCTATCAGTCATTTAACCTTAGTTAAATGTTTTGGGGAACCAGGCTGCTGTTGCTTTTTTTTTTTTTTCCTGTTCTTTTTAAATCCCTGAATTCAACTCTAATTGTGTTGTTTTATGATCTCAGCATCACCAAGGACATTTGCTTCCAGGGGGAGATTGAAGTCTTCCATCTAAGACTGGCGTCCTGGCAATACTTCCCACAGCTCCTTGAGTAATGTAAGGCAGGAATAGAAATGTGCCCAGTTTCTGGGGTATCTCTCTGGCCATAGCACGTTCCACCACGCACGCATGATAAGCTTAAGGGTCTCTTACCCCCTGCTTCTAAACAGGAGTCAGCTGCAGTTGAAAAAAATGAGTTTCTACTAAATGGTCATCTGTCTTGGACTTTCACTGGGCCATCGTTGGCCACAGGGAAAAAAGCCTCACCTTCATCGTGGTGCAGAGTGCAGATGTGGCACTGTGGCCAAGGAGCTTGGTCCAGGACTGCTCTCCATATACAGCAATCACAGGAGGCAGGTAACCCCACCCCACAGCCCTCCTAGGGTGCCGAATCATATTTAAACCTATTTAAATTATCCTACTTGCTCCCAGCTGACACGCTCCTGAATTGTTAACACTTAAAGGAAAAAGTGCTTTCCTTTGTCTTCCAAGAATTCTTGGCAGAAAGTCTACCAGGTTGCTTTCATCAGCTTCTTCATCTCCCTAAGCTGCAGTGGTCATTTGCATCGCCACAGGTAAGAGTAGCATTTACTTTGGCCTTGTATGTAAACATCTGGAAGCTCATGGCCTCATTCTTTGAGTTCACCCTTTCTCAGTGCAGTCTGAGAGGAAGAACCAGAAGGAGAGTCCCAAGTGGGACAGGAAATGAAATTGGATAATAAAAATTCAGTAAAAATCTGAAAGTGTGTTTGGTTTTAATGCTGCCTTTATATTTTTTAATTTCTCTTCTGTGGAGTACTGGTTCTATCTTTTTCTCTCTTTTGTGTTTTTGCTTGGTTTTGAGTTTTCTTGGAATTGTGATGCTTTCTGCTGATGGTGTGTGTGCGCCTTCCATTGCAGGATTTGCAGCCATTCTGCGCGACTTCTTAAGGCCCAGGGATTTGGCTTTTGTCCAGTGTGTTTTGGAAACCATGGGACACCACTGCGCTAACGTGTTTACATGCATCTGCTTCTGTCTTAGTGGCTGCTATGCCTCCATTATTTGTACATAGAGACCCTGTTGGATGTTACCAATAAGGACCAGTGCTGAATGGAAGATAACTACTGTCTTTTTGTCAGAGTTGGGAAATGAACTGATTTGTTAATTGAAGCAAACTTGAGGATTTGCATTATTTCTCACAAGTTTCTTTGAAGGTTCTGGCTCTACAATCAGAAATGTTACATTGCTTAGGAGGTCCTGGGGTATTACATTTTTCAAGTATCCCATGATTTCCCCCATCTTCTCTCCCTCCCTGTAAAACAAGCAAAACTTAGTTGCAGTGGAGGGAGAGAGTTCTGTCCTCAAGAGTAAGATTCAGCACTATACTGCATAAAATAGTCTCAGGTAGCTGCTATGGAGTTGTAGACAGGAAGTAGCCTGGTACAGGGAAATGGGAAGCCGGTCAAGGATTTCTGAGAAAGAATTGAAAATAAAAATAAAAAGAAATACTTCTAATTTGGATGGGAAAAGATGTTAGTTTAGATCTCACCTGATAATGTTTGACCAAAGTAGGGAAAGAACTAAGCCTGGGAAGAGATTAAAGACAGATAACACGCTTTGACTTTAATACTAGTGACGGATTTTAAAGTGCTTTAAAGATGAACCTTCTAGGAATGATATAGTGTGACTGAAAGATTTCTGCTCGATGTGATATGATATTTGACTCAAATTGGTTATTTTTGTAGATACTGAACTAGGGATCCCAGGTTATCTAGCCTAGGAGAGAACAAGGAGGCCAAGTATACACCTTGCACTAGGGTGGAAGTTGGGGGGTGTTTTGGGGTGGGGGGCAGGAATAGAGAACTCAATCAGATGTGTTTTCTAGGCTCAGCTTTGCCACTATATTTGTGGCCTTGAGCAAGGCATTTCACCTTTCTAGCTCTGAAAGAGTGGGATTCAGTTAACTCCAAGGGCCTTTTAGCTCTAAAATTCTAGGAGCCCATAGTACGAACACATATTGCACTCTGGTTATGATTATATTATCTCAGATTGGAATGTGTTTTCAAGTGCAATTCTGAAAAAATTTTGTTTTGGGGTTATATATGGGCTGGTGAGAAGAACTGATAGTTCCTTAAGAATTCTGCCTTGGCAAAATTCAGGAAATGCAATTAGACTTCCAACAGGAAATTTGCTTTTAGGATCTACAGTGTCTTTTTCTGCATAAATATTGGCCATGGCTGGTTTGCCATAGAAGGTTTATCAGATTTAAATATGGGGAAAGCCATACACGTATTATGTAATTATACCTGTTACTGTTCCAAGGCCTAGTGACTCCATAGGGAGTTTATGACTTATATAAACGATACTGCCTTTGTCTTCAGAACTGCAAGGTGGAGCCTGGTTTTCTAAATTGAAGCTGAATCAGTTGGTGGTTCCTATATTATAAAAAGGTGGTATTCAAAAGTGTAAGTGGATTGTTGCCAGTACAAGTAAAAGTACCCGTAATGCTCCCATTCTTTCACGTCTAGGCCAACTGGTCTTCAGGCTGTTGTCTGCGCTAGTGGTCATTTGCTTATAATCATCGTTTCTCCTTTCTTGACTTCCTCCAAAGTGGTAAAGTGAAATTCCTCATGTGGTCCTGTCTGCCCTCCCTCTTTTTCTAGTCTCCCCCTCCTACCCCATCCAACTCGCAGGCCAGGGATGCAGAGGATGGAAGGTTATGGCCCCCTATCATTGTTCATTCTTATTACAGAGCCAAGGATTGTCACCAGTGAAGAGGTCATTATTCGAGAAAGCCCTGTCCTCCCCATCACCCTGCAGTGTAACCTCACCTCCAGCTCTCACACCCTTACATACAGCTACTGGACAAAGAATGGGGTAGAACTGACAGCCCATCAGAAGAATGTCAGCAGCATGGAACACAGGTGAGAGGGGCTAGCAAGCCATCTGCCTAAGTGATCTTTCCACTGGGTAGACACCCTAGTGAATTACCTTTTAGAAATGTCGAATATTGTCAAGGGGTCCCTGGGTGGCACAAACGGTTAAGTACTTGACTATTAACCTAGATGTTGGTGGTTCGAACCCACCTAGAGGCACCTCTGAAAACCCTGTGGAGCACGGTTCTACTCTGGCACACTTGGGGTCACCATGAGTCAGAATCGACTCAAAGGCAACAAGTCTTTTTCTTTTCTTTTTTTAAATCGTCATAACCTGATCAAGACCATTGGATACAGCGATGAGAGCCTGAAAATATCCTTTGAAGAAAAGGGGATATTTGCTGGTTGGAGTTACCTGGCACCAAAAAGATTTGGTGCTTTTTAGAATGTCTAGAACACATGGCACCTCACTCATCTTTCAGACTAGTTTGTTCCTGGTTGAAACTGTTTTAGAGGATCAGCTAATCTGCTTGGCAGAATGATGCACTGCAAAGAAAGTGCTGGAGTGGGACCAGGAAGACCTGTGTACCCAGTAGTGACAGGGACATCGTACATTTTTTGCAACATTGAGATCTTTTCATATCCTTTATTTTATTTGATCCACGTGAGTTTATGAGAGGAAGCTGTTCTATTTTTCAGATGCAGAAACTTAAGACTGTAAAAGAGTAACTCTTGGCTGTGTTCCAGGCCACATGCTGTGTCTAATAAGTATCAGAATCAAGGCTAGAGTCTGTGTCTTCTGACTTTGTAGAATCTAGATCATTGGTTTTTTTCTGCTCTACCATACCGTCTAGTGGCAAGTCAGTTAACCCATCTGCACCATAGTTTCTTGGAAATAACAGCCTCAGTCAGATCCTTACAGCCTGGAAAGGATTAATCAGATGGAGGTACTAGGTAAATTGAAAGGCATTTATTCTTGGTTTGCCCATTAGTTTTACAAGCTTGTTTTTTATAATACCTCTTTCAAGGTAGCAGACATCCAATCATGCTTCTATTGGGTCTTGTACTATGTCGCCCACAAAGCTTTCAGCTGTAGAACATATACCCTGGCTTTATAAAATGCCTCTTCCCCTCTTTTTTTCTCAGCTTATTTGAAGCTCTCCAGGGGTGTTCTTCATTGCTGGAGCTTTTCAGGGAATCTGTGTCCTCCTGCATTTTTTGGAATAATAACTGCTGAGTCCTTTGGGCCACCTAATTAGTCAGCCATGGAGCCAATCTCAGAACCCTGCTTTTGTCAACCTGTAGGGAACATTTTCCCTTTGCTTTAATTGCTTCCCAATACCTCATCCAGGAAATGGGATGAGGAGAATTTGAACCCATTGGAATGGCCTCAAGCTTGGGAGTCATCTTCCCCAGTCTTTCCCAAAGAACTTAGAGTCAGTCTAAGCCCTGAAGATATAGCTGCTGTCCCCCCTAAACTCTGGAACACTTGGAGTGAAGAGCAGCTTGTGTCTCTTTTCCTGTTGAGAGCGTATTCATTTAAGAAGACGCTGTTTGCGCCAAATTAAGATCTCTTGACAGCTCCTCTCAGAGTGTCGTGCTGCACGGACCTGCTGAGACGACAGTCCTGAGATGGGCTGTCTCTCTCCTTATGCAGCGTTTCTTAACCTGCCTTTCTTTTTTCGGAGTGAACAGGAAGATGGATAAATAGGTTAGGCCTGTCAGTGGGTGTAGTTAAGAGCTTTTTTCAGACATTAACTAGTGCAGTGGAGATTTGACCATCACCAATAGCATATTTTAACCACCGAGCAAAAGAGCAGGAGGCTGGTTCTGCGTAAATGCTTGTTTTCTGAGTTGGAGGCTCTTGTTTCTCTGCTTTCTGTAATACCAACATTCCTGCATGTACTTGGTGTGTGGGTAGGCTAGAGTGGACAGAGTGAGCCAGTGTGAAGCGAGGCCTCAGGCAAGAACGCTCATTTGGGATCACCCGGTGGGATTCAGAAGAGTGCTGTTCTAGCCGTGCACGCTGCTGCAGCCTGCCTGTCACTGCTTCGCTCCGTCTGGATCTCTGCACAGCTCCACTTTGAGATCCTGTTCATTCAGTCATTTGTTTGTTCGTTCGTTCCCCTGCTGCATTCCAGGCACCATGTAGGTACTGGGTATAGAGCCGTACACCAAATAAACAGTGCCTTTTGGTCTGTGGGGAGACGGATATTAATCAAGCAATCAGATAAATGTGTAATTACACATTGTGATAAGTGCTGTTCTAAAGAATTCCGGAGTCGTATAAAAGAATGTGTCAAGGAGGGGGATGTAATTTAGGTTAGGGGTGGGAGGAAGTGATATGTAAGCCAAGACCTGATGGAAAGGAGTTAGAATGGGAAGAGCATTCTATGCAAGGGAACAGCTTGTGTGAGGGTTTTGAGGTAGGAACACATTTGGCACACTGAAAATCTGAAAAGGGACCAGCATGGCCAGAAGGTGGCAGGGGATGAGGCTAGAGAGCTAGGCAAGGCTCAGGTCATGCAGACCTTGGAGTCTGATAAGAATTTAGTTGAGTTGGCATCCCTGTGGCTGATGCTCCAGCGGCAGAGCCTTTTCTTTTTTTTCTTACCACACTTGAAATCCTGTTAGTGAGCAGACTTAGCGAAGCGTATACTACTAAAATACAAGGTGGGAAGAAAATAACTACCAAAACAGGGTCTTTAGAGACGCTCAGAAAAAGGTTTGCTTTTCTTCTGCTCTTGTTTGTCTGGAACCACCAAGTCAGCAAGCAGTTTTTAGTGATGGCTTCTGCTCTATATCTGTATGGGTTATAGAGCTCTGTATAGCCCTCTGTTTTGATTACTTGTTTTTACATGTGTACTTCTCCTAATAGACTGGAGCACCTTGAGGCTTGGGGCCATGTATTATCCCATCTTTTTGTTCCTGCCACCCAGGAAGGAGTAAGGCATTAAGGTTTGGGGATACAAAGGGGGAAGTTTTTGCTTTTAGTTAGGGGGAGGTGAGTTGCATTAAGGGGCAGGATTTGGAGAGCAGGATCCCTGGTTGCCCCATTGATTCTTCTTTTGTTATAGAATTTGACTCCTCCCAGACTCCTCACTTGGTTTTTCTTCTCATCTCTGCAGGATCTCTAAGCCGAGAGCTGAGGATTCAGGAGAATACCACTGCGTATTTCACTTTCTCAGTGCTCCTAAAGCAAATGCCACCATTGAAGTCAAAGGTACAATCCAAAAGAGCCTGCGGTTTGAGCCTCTCACTGTCCTTCCGAGACACTGCTTGGTCTGGACTCCCACTCTTCAAGCACTTCTTGTTTCCGCTACAAGAGACAGTATAACGTTATGGTTAGGACACATCTCAGGAGCCCAGCTGACTGGTGTTAAATCCCAGCCCCATCATTTACTAGTGTGTGACCTTGGGCAAGTTTTTAACTTCTCTGTGCTTAATTTCCATCATTTGTAAAATGAGGATATCAACAGAACCTACCTTACAAGGTTGTTAGGGGATTAAATAAGTTAATATAGTAGGTTAAACTATATAAAATTGATGTTTTTGTATGTCAAAAATGTTTGAATATTGGCAGTTTCATATGATTCAACCTTATGTAAAGCTCTTAGAACAGTGCCTTACTATTATCGTTACATAGGTTTCTCCAGTGGGCCAGCAGGATTTGGGAAAGTCCAGCGTGCAGGGTGAACATAGCTGTGTGTGGATAAGTCATTAGACTTTTAATAGAAACCCCGTGGGTGCCTGGCATCTTCAAGACGAGGCTGTAGCTGAAAGTACGAAGAAGGACAAATAGAACTGTAAAAGTTGGAGCTATGCTTCATATCATTAATACCAGCTTTCCCATGTTATTCCAGAGAAGCAACTGAAAACCGAAACCACTAGCTCTGCCGCACAGTAAGTTTGTGGCAGAGCTAGTATAGAACCCAGGTATTCCGACCCCCA